ACCTTTTCTATGGGAGTATACAATCCAGGTGGACTCTAAAACAAGACAATAATTTTTAAAATGGCTTTAAAGGAAGAGAAAGAATGCACTTAGGAAAACTGGCAGGGAGAGGGAACAACATAGGTTACATATGGAGTAGAGGGACTGGAGAGGATGATGGAGGAAACAAAGGGAAAAAACGACAAAGTGAAAACAAGTGATGAAAGGAGTGACTATAGAAACAACTGACAATGCAGAGGGGTGAAATAGAATATAATCTCTTATGCAGACGTTCACGATTAGGAAAGGTTACTTCTCCTTCATTTTTATTTCCTTGGCAGAAATGGGGGAGCTGTAGGGAGGAGGAAATTTAGTGTTTGCTGCTAGTGCCGATGGAAACTTTTGTTGCATCTCAGGCAGGGGAAGAATTTCTCCTGGTGAGGGCTTACAGAACAACGGTATCTGTGGCAGAGGAAGAAGCCCTTAATATCTGTATTAATTTGTCAGGCTTTGACTAAGGAAAGCAGTGTTAATGAGGCTTTAACATACTTGCCACTGGCATGTGACATATAAATATTTAAGGAATGATGGGATCACTTAACCACTCTGTCTTCATTTCAGCCTCAGTTCCCATCCCAAACTGAACTGGAAAATTTTTTATGCTCTTTGGCTTGTCTCAGTTAAATTAACACCCCCACCCCTCTTTCTATACCTCCTTTCCTGTCTACTTCTGAATCACTCTCTCGAGCTGTGTCCAGGCTGCTTTCAGCTCTGGCGTTGAACTGCAGCTTGTCACTAAAGGCACCCTGGCATGTGCATAAAAGAGATTTGGAGGTGGAAATGACCACTAGTTAAATCACCTCATCCTCCCTCCAGTCAGTGTGTGATTGTTCCTGCGGCACACTCCCAAGGGCCTGGGCTTTTAATGCTTTGAGCAACAGAAATTCCACCTCCACCCCCTTTGGGAGGAGTGCACGAGGGGTAATAGATCACACTCTTATGCAATTTTTCCTGATACATAGCCTGCATTTTCCTTTGTTCAATGTCTTTACTCCGTTATTCATATTTATAAGTGGTGCTGGGTGAATCCCAGGTGGTTTGGAGGTTTATTTCTGTTTAAGAAGGCATGTGAAAAGGCAGGGACTAGTCCACATTCTTTAAACCTTTTGGTGCCCTCCTGACAGGCTCAGTTATTTCTTCCCTGAAACTGCCCAGGACCCAGTAGAAAGTCTTGTTTCTCTCTATCCCAGGAGAGTAGGAGGTTGGATACTGGCCAGCTCTCTGCTCTGGTAAATCTATCCTGTGAATAGAGACTAAAGCCCTTGTCTCCCCAACATATAATATGCTGTTTTCTAGCCATTACCCAGTAGCCTAAGACCTCCAGTTTAATTTCCTGTACTCATCAGGCTGTTACTGTGTTTTTTATTCTCCCTTACCTAATTGAGGGCATTTTTATTGGACTGGTCCTTTTGATGTCTAATGTATTCTTTTAAGTATTTTTTCTTAAAAAAAAAAAAAGGTATTTCTTAAACTGTTATTCCAGTTGATATCCCATGAAACACTGCAGTAATCAAATGGCAGCAAGTGGGATCCCTTCATTTGTTTTGAAGAAATCTTGCATGAAAGGATCTAGTCAGGGGCTGTGAATTCTTCCTCTAGACCCCCCTTCCTGCACATAGAGGAAAGTACTGCAGGGGAGTCTCAGCATACTCTACACTTCAAGGCTGCCCAAGCAACACTCAATTGTTACTGGCAATCCTTTTCAGCAGGGGCATATCACACGTGTGCAAGTTCAACAACAAACAGTGTTCTAAGGATTTTCTCCCTCTCTGAAACGTTCATCATGACAGCAGCTTCCTCCCTCTTCAGATGTCAGAGACATTGATCCAGTCCTTGATTCAGGCATCTAACTTGGCCAGGACACAAAAGTCGCACTCAGAGGGACTGTTCCTACTACTGTCGTTTTAATAAATACTTGTTACCAGGGCTGTAACAAGCACCAGATCATACTTTTCTTCTGTCAGGGTTTAAGAGGGATTTAAATCCTCAAATCCATATTGCTGTGAAAATGGCTCCTGTGCTACTGTGTTTTCTCAATCTTTCCACTGGAAGACTAAATAATGATAAAAAATTGTTCTGCTGCAGCAAAAGAAACAAGAAATGAGTAATGCCTGCTGTAGTCTAGTAATCTACGTCTTTAGATTATGGGAAAATTATTCTTAAATATCCTTAAATGCAGCTTTTGCATTTTTTATACAAGAGTAAATGAATAGAGCAAAACACCAGTCCACTTACAGCAATCAAGTTTTTCCTCTTGGGAGGCGGAAAAACTGCAGTTCCATACCTCATCCAAATCCAGGATGCTGGTTCTCCCCCCAGTCCTGCCACTACTATTGTAACAATTGGCAAGATGTGGGAGGAAGAAGCTCAAGCACTGCTACTCTTGTATGTTTTATATGGTTTAAATGCTATCAGCCTGCTGGACCCGAAAAGGTGCCGTTTGCTGGCTTACAGGCAGCCCAGTAGTAGCTGTTGGTCTTTGGAGGTCGTTCATATAGGGAGCAGTAGGAATAGGGCAAGCTGGGGACATTGTTCTGGTACTGCAGAAACACAAGTGGGAGAAGAACAGGGCTTACATAGACATGAGCTTCCTATGTCCCCTGTCCTGGGCGATTATAAATTCATGCTTATGACTTTTGCCATTAGGTTATTTCTGAACTACATACACATGCATCAAAAATTTGAAAGCAGGAGTTTACTGTCTAAATTAAAAGGCAATGTCAAGAAGTGACACTGACAACAAACCACTGCACTGGCAGAACAAATAGCTGGGCAGAGCACTTACTTATCGAAAGGTGAATATGATTATTCTTTTCTGAGGCAGAGAACTAAAGACCACCAAACCAACCCTAAGATGATTCAGGAAGATTTACCAAGAGTAGTATATGTACACGGGGAGACCCTTTTTGGCATGATAGACTGTAAATTATTCATAGGAGACAAGAAAAGAGGTTCTGTCAGTTGTACAATTACTTTTTATTGGCAGTGCTCTCTCAACTCAAGAAAACATTGGATGAGGTTCAAGACCAAGATTTGGCTCAAAGGCCACCACAATTTTACAGAAATGTGATGAATGTTCCTCAAGAAATAGTTTCCTAAGAAAGCCACAAAAATGTGTCCAGCTAGGTTTCAGGATATCTAAAATGATATCCAACAGTTGCTACCACTGAAGATCAATTGCCTTAAGTAATTTCACTACATGAAATTTTTACGTGTCAGACTGGCTGATGCTCTCGAACACAAAGATACCCAACACATTTGGATGAACTGTTTCATAAATATTGATATATGTATACATGTCCACAATTCATCACACTTATCTCAAGCATTTATTTTGAAGGACAAGCTACTAAAAAAAAAAATATTAACCTAGTGACAGTGGAAGAAAGTCCTTTCACTGTGAAGGTAATGATGTGTTGGGTGTGCACTAATAGCCCGAGGGTTATACACAGAACACAAATTCAGTCAATAATATCTCATGCCATATTCCCAAGCCTGAGTGAACACCTCATTTTAGGAAAGCTGATTTTCACCTTTGCTGCCAATGAAGGAAAGATGTCAGAAGTCTGTCTTCCTGCTGTCTTCCCTGAAGATTTATAATATAGTGGGGTTAAAGCATTAATCATTACTGATTTTTAAAAAATTTAAATATTAACAAACATTAGTAAACTAATCTTTAGTTTACCCTGACTAGAATCTTAAATTACTAGAGAAGATATAGATGAGTCATGTAAAATGTGCACTTTTGTTCACAAAGCATCTTTAAGCATTACTGCAGTTGTCAGGACCACCACATTAGTGCATTTTTTTTTTACAATGTTTTATAGAGAAATATTGGAAAATTACTAGGTACTTCCAAAGAACTCCTGTTTGCAATGGGATGAAGACATAAGAGCACAGCCATCAAGAAAAGTAGGAGAAATAATTCCATGTGTACAACATGCATATCATTATAAGCGTATCTGTGAGAAGGCAGATTTTAAAATAATCTCAATTCTAACAAATATTGAGAGTATCTTCTACAAGAAAATTATTCTCTTTTGACTTTTAATCAGCTGTAAAAACTAGTAATAATGATTTTTCTTTTTCTTTCCTGAGTTAATTAAATGTAGTGACACATTTAGAGATTGACAAGTGAAAGGCACTGTAGCTAGGAAAGTAGTTCAACCCTTCCCTAATTAAATGGGCCTCTCTCAATCTGTATTTTCACTCTGCTCTTTTTTGTTTCCTGGGCTGTAGAAAGGCTTTAGGTCCATAGTTAACCCAGAGGATGTTTCTCTCTCTCCAACAACTCTCCAATGAATTTTTAGTACTTGTAGTTTCGATAGGAGTGTGATCAGATACTTCTACCTCATACTCATTTCCAAGTTATCTTATATTATAAAGGCCTGGCATACTCTCAAGCACAAATCTTACATCTGGCAACACTGCTCCTACAGACACATGCATGCAGAAAGCAGAAGGCTAGACAAAACAGGATAATGTGAAGACTGTATTTAATAACACAGGAAAGAAACAGGACCAAATCCCCCCAATTTGATAAGATTGCTTCAAAGAAATGAACTTGTAGCTTAGGAAAATTCGTAAGTTTTGCCTCTCTGCAGGCTACAAAAATTAATGCTTCCTAGTTAATGTTCCAATGCATCTAAATAATTTTGTTCATAATTAATTGTGTTTCTAGATGACTGAGGATACAAAAATATCCAAAGTTTATTTGGAGTTTACTGATTAAAACCTTTCCCAGACCTTAAAATACTAGGGGGAATTTTCTTCCCAGAGAAAGGTTAGATTAATTCCTGATTTAATCAGTTGCTAAACATCATTAAAAGCAGGGGTTTATACAGTGTCTTAGACCCAGAATAACCCTCCTGTTATTAACTCTGTACCATCTGACAGTACCCTCTATATGAAACAGACCAAGAATGTACTGAATAGGTGACAAAAGACACCACAGAAACAGGTGATAACATATTCCTATGTCTTTAATGGAAATATTTTGTTACAATTTAGGTTATGTGATATTTTTGCATCTTTAAAATGTGTGAAAGAAAATGCACAGAACAAAAAGTCAAAGGACACCAATGAATGTAGATATTTTAAATGACCAAGTCTTAAAAGAAATAAAATACATTACACAAATAAAAAAAGGTTATATCCACAGACATGAATATGCACTCTCCTCTACACAAAAACAACAATAAATAAAATCACATTATATGCAGATAGTTCTACTTACATCAGTACAATATACTGTGCAGCTTTCCATTTGTTTTCTATTAGACTGGTACTAGGCTTCTCTGTTGTCCAGTATTTTTACATTAATAACAGTATCACCGAAAAAAAGGGGACAAAGTTAATGTCCACAACGTCTATCCTGAGTCCTCTTAGTTTTTGATAGCTATGCACAAGAAACACCGCAAATTCTACCCTCTGCCTTCATCCTGCCACTCCACCCAAGTTTTCTCAGCACTTTCAGACCTGCACAGTAAAGACAACATTGTTCCTGGGTAAACACCCGACCTAAGGGCACGGCATACCCTGAGCAGGCCCTATGAACCACTTAAACCCAGTCTGAATTTTAGGCAGGGGCTTGTGTGAGATTTAAAAGCTCTCTGCTGCGTCTCTAAAAGACTAGATATTGAACAATAAGTGCAGAAGGAACTCGATCTTTGAATGAACTCCATACAGTCAATAGCATCATCACAGGAATACAATCAGTCCCTGAGCATTTTCCCTCTTCTCTCAGCTGCAGATACTTTGGCAGAGGGGTTGGAACTACATGATATTTAAGGTCCCTTCTAACCCTAACCCAAAGATCTGTATTTTCAACAGGTCTTTTAATCCCATGGATCACATACTGTAGAAGTGATCACAATGTTACATCAGGGAGCTACTAAATATGTGAGGAAACGTTTACCATCTCCCACAGAACCCAGATAAATCACCACTGGTGGCTCATTCCTTTGTCACACTTCATACACTGCTCTCAGAGAAAAAGAAGTCCAGATCACTCCCAATTATGAACCAACACACCTGTGCTCATTATGTCTGCTGCAAGTGAACAATTAATTAGCAAAACCTTTGTTCATAGTTGGGGGACGGGGGAAGAATTGGGTGTTCCCTGTGCATACCATCTGAGATTACAAAAGAAACCACTAAATGAGATTATTTTCTTAAATACTCATTTTGGTACATTTTCTTTGCTTGCTCAAGTGTCCTCTAGAAACATTCACATGACAGAAACACCAAGCAACAGTTCACACAGTGGATTTTAACCTTTCAAAGATTCAACATCTAACGAATCCATCTAATATTTCTGAAGTTTTATAGCTTAACATACAAACTTTAACAGTGTCAGGTTATTTAGAATATTTTGCCTTTGACGCTGAATATTAACTTAGTGGTTAGTGAGAGATTTTGAAGGAACTCTTAAGCCTCTCCTTTTGAAAGCTAGGTTTGTATTCTGTAAATCTGGTGCATGTCAGTTAGGACCTCCTAGAAGGTAAATTCTGGAAGAAGTAATAGCATAATAAAACAGTCTATGTAATGATACACTGGACACAATTAAACACTAGCCCAAGAAAGCCTCAAAACCATGGCAGCATTATCTTCTCAATTGAAACCAGCAGTAACACCACAAAAACACCAATATTAACCTTTATCCTTTCTTCCTCTACGGGTGAGATAAAGGGAGAGCTGCATTTATGACAGACTCGAGACTTCACTGGGGCAAACCCCAGTGCTCAGGCTTTCTGTTATTCTCTAGAAGAGAACAGACACTACTAATGTCTGCCACACAGCTTGCTGACCCCTGCAGACAGCCAGGTCTGAGGTGTCCCAAAACCAGCTGTTTTTTTTAATTTCAACAATCATTTTTCATCAGTCTCAGACCTCAGATGTTAGAAGGTATCTGAGAAGAGAAAAAAATTCAGGCCTCAAGCCATTTGAATTCATTTCTGTCTCTAAGCAGGGATATGCACAGTGCAAACTCTTCCATTCTCCCACTTGAAAGGCTTCACACACACACACAAATCTTTTTGTGCTTTCAACAGCGAGAAGGAAAGGAGGGGGAGGAGAAGTGACACAAAAAACGTATCTGAAGGCAAAACTTTTTCCAGTATGTCCTTAAAAATATATTCCAAAAAGTAACTCCTGTATTCCTTTGTTTCTAAAAAGGACTAAAACTGACTCCTCCAAAACATGCACTTTGCTGAAATTTGTCTCTTTATCGCTCACTGTTGTGAGGTGAGTTAGTAGGCCATGCTGCTAACCAAGAGAAAAGGTAATGTACCATTAGAAACTTGTATTTCTCTTCCCATATGCCCTGCTTTGGGGAAGATGGTGGTAGATTTGACATCATTTTATAGCAGCAACAATTAGGATAAAAAAAACCCAACAGACAATTTTGGGTCTAGATCTCACACAGTGGCTGGTGTGGCCATGGGCCAACATCAAGTGTGCTGGCAGCTGAGCAGCACAGAGTCAATGAACCATGCCTCAAATTACATAAAAGCCAACACTGTCTGTGAAGAAGGAGCATTGTGGATTAGATTATGGAAAATGGCTATCTCTTGTCAAAGTACTTCTGAATCTAGACAAAAAACCATGAAAAAATGGGGGATTAAAGACTGTTTACTCTACTCTGGGCAAAAATGAGGAAAAATAGGCTCAACTGCTTTATTGAAAGAACTAGAACTGGTACATGCTAATCTGAGGCACAGAGGAGGGCAGTGAAGGATGTGGAACTGTCCTGAGCTCTGGGAAAGGTGGACTAAATTGCCAGAGAAATTTATGGCCAGGACTATTAGCTTCCTGTCTTTGATGTCTATTCTTGGCTTTTCAGGAGCATTATGGCATTCATGAGGTGAAAGCAGCACTGGAGCCAAGGTCAACTAAGGCTGATGCAGCCTGTTCTACTGCAAAGCTGAGAAACTCACTCTGAACTGCTTCAAGCCTGAAGACACTCCACTGAGGGCCTGAGCTTACTTCCACTGAATCAGTGAGAGGGTTTTTGTCAGCTTCATGACAGTGTGATTGCACCTCCAAGCCAAAACATGAATCAGAGATCAACCTCCCAGCAAAATATGCTGTAAGGGAGAAGACTCCTAATTTGTCCAGCACAAATGTTTTCAAAGCATTAGCTACACCTTAATAATTCACCACTAAAAAACCCTCAAAAAAAAGCTTTCAATAATGCAATAAAGCATTTCTTAAAGCCAAATTGAAAATAGATCAATACAATTTATTTTCAGACATGAATTAATATAACCCTTCATTAAAAGTGAATTCTGGCCACAATCTTGCAAGGTGCAGACCACTCACCAGTTTTTGCAATGACTGAATGTTTTCAGAGCTTAGCTGGGTGTGCCCTTCAATGAAGTACATCGCAGCAGGAGCTGGTAATTAACTGGTGATGATGGTAGTCATCGACAATTTAGGATACACAAACTGCCCATAAAAAAAACTTCCAGAACTACCAGTGGCCAAGGACAAAGGATCTAGGCATCTGACTCTGAAGTTGTGGGTTTCAGGATAATAAATCACAGATACTTTTTAAACTTTTGCTTCACCTTTGTCACTTGCAGTGGAAGCCTATGTGTTGAAGTTAAGAGGGTGAAAGTCAGGTAAATGCCAGAATCCTTGGGAAGAGGATTCTGAGATGAATCAGCCATTAAGCTGATCACTATTCGGTGATTTAAAAAAAAAATAGCAGAATTTGTTAAACTTTGACAAATAAAAGTATGAAGATGCTAGTTCAATTTCAATTTAACAGGCACACCTGTTAGATTTAGTAGGAAACATATGGCCTATAGGGCCAACCTCTCTCCAATTCAAGCACATGGCAAATTTCCCTTTGGTTCAGCCATGGCCAGGACTATACCCTTTGGTCCCAAGTGAGCAAAGCACTTAGAAGCTGAAGTTGAACATATTTTAAGTATGTTCTGAAGTGCTGAGCTGAGTGAAGAGTCTCATTGTGCTGCTCTGTAATACAGATGTATGTTTGTAATACGGGCAATTTGCTGAGGCCAAAAATGTAGATCTTGAAACCTCTTTTGAGAATCAATTATTATTATTTTGATTAAACATTCCCTTGCAGAGTTTGAAGCTTAAACATTGTGGCATTGAGCTAATGCAGATGAACCAGAAAGGCACAGTGCATTAGCCGGTAAAGAACCTCTCTGCTGAATAATCTAAACCCAAGGCAGTTTTTGATCTATGGTCCAGAGAAGATCTGGGAACTATTAGCAAGAGGCCTGTGAAAGGCAGCTAAGACGAGCAAGTCTATTTATACTATACAGGAATCTACCTACGTGAAATATCTTAAATAATCTCCACACTTCCATGGAAAAAGCACACACATTTGTGTGGATCAATTTAGAAGGATTAAATCCCATTGATTTGAAATATTCTAATGTGCAAGAAAGGTTCACCTTTCTTGGGAAGTGTTGAGATGTACAGCTTTGGCTAAGCCTCTGTCAGCATCCTAGCAACAGACATCTCATAGAAACACTCATAGAAACACTTCTTGAGATCATGATTTAAAACCCTATAAAAAATCAGTATTATTTTTTCAATAAAAAGTGATATTACTTTTTTATAGTTATCATAAAATGACACAATAAATAAACAGTCTTAACAACTTCTTGTACCAGCCAGATCTCCTGTCTCCTGATATTCTGATCAGATCTCCTGATGTTCTGATCTGACCCAACTGTGCATGGTACAGGAAAAATACAATCTACACAACTGTCTTAAGTGACTGTTTGAGTACTAGTTCACATTGCAAAGTCATAAAAAAAAATTTTTCAAAAAAAGTTTATGCTTCAAATCACACCCTCTTTTCTCTACATATGTAAGAACTTTCCTTCCCTTTTCTTCCTGTGGCAAAGTAGTAAAACGAGTTAAAAAAGTAAAATACTGAAACACACCTTTGCAAAACCAGAAGTTGATCAAAACTGCCTTGGAAAGTATTTAAAAAAACCCCAAACCTTAAGCATGCCCAAGGGCTAGACAAACTCAGCTGCTTGGAAAAAAAATCCATAAACTAATCGCAAAGTCTTTTTTTCTCCCCATCTCCACAGCAGTATGAATGCTGCTCTAGCCTAAATCCTTCTCTGGTGCCCATGAGATAAGGAGGCTACAGCAGAGACCTGCCCAAGGCACCTTTGCAGAAGTCGCAGATGCCCAGAGCTGGCAGTGGGATGATGGAAATCTACTTCCTGTCCTGGAGCTGCCCTAACAGTCAGGAAACTCTACACTATCTCTGTCTGGAAAATTGGATAGTATGAATCTCTCCATATGCTAAGAAAGGAGTGAAATACAAGGGGGCGAAAAAAAGTCCATCTACAAATAAAAGGCATCAGAAAGGAGGCATAGCCAGTTTTTACTCTTCGTTCACTTCCAGCAACTTCAAAGTGGTTTCTAAGATTTGGTACCCTGGCTTCTCAGGGACTAGAAGTTTTGTAGAAGTCAGGCTTCAGAGCCAGTTTTGAGAGTAATTTTCAAATCTGACTACAACAGCTGAGAAGAGAAAGTTTTTCTTACAAAATCAGAATAGGATATTGGATATATGAAATACCAAAATATTTAATGCACTAGAACCATAGTCACAGCTTAATTTTCCCACAGACAATGTTTTATGGTTCTTCTTCACCACATTTCCAGTAAGTACTGTTCATTTCTATTTGTTGACTAGAAAGTGCAAAACTTTCCTCTGTCTAGTATAAAATAGCCTGTCAGTAGCTAATTCATCAGAGATTCAGTTTTGCTCCTGGTAAAATCAATGGCAGATGTCCCAGGGATACTGATGGCAGCAGGATTAAAGTCAGCACTAGAACAGTGTTTTACCACCCGATTCCTGAAGGTGGTTCCTTGAATGTTCAATTGTACACACATGGACAGCTAAATCTCACCAACTTCTGTAGGACTGTTTAACAGGTGAAACAATTCATAATTTTCAGCATCAGCCCCATCATCACGCAGACAACTCAATAACTGCTTTTGTATTGTTTAAATAACTACTTGAATGTTGCACATGCCTGGAGAAGAAAGTCTGTTACTATCAACAAAGTCACTTCTCATCCCCTAAATGCTAGTTCTAAAATGTATTTACAGCTGTTGACTTTCCCTGCATACTACTCCTATCATAAAATATATGTCTTCAAAACATCCTCTTCCTTTATTTTTAATCCTACCAAAGCAAAAATAGATACTTTAATAGAAAAATTCAAGATAAAAAATATCCTAAAAATAAAATGGTAGCATGGAATGTCATTTTTACACAAAAAAAGATCCCCTTTTGAGTTGCGTCAGCTATACAAACACTTTCATATTTACAGTTTTGGACGCAGTCCTGTGCTCACTGAAGTTAATGGGATTTTGCCACTGACTTCACTGGGAACAGGAGCAGGCTCGACATGGCCTATATTTGCCACTCTGAAAAGTCATGGCAGTGGAGAGAAAAGAGCATGGTAAAACACATATAAGAATGAGGAATTAAATAGTCCTCTCCAAGCCCTGATTGTCTTCTCTCCCTCTTTAACACCAGTGAAACTCCTCATCCTTCACCAGAGATTTTCAAAATTCCCAGCATTTAAGAGGGAGAAACAGTGCTTCTGATTGTAGTACCACACAAACAAGGGAAGAATTGCTTGTGTGTGTTTCCACCTGCCTGACTTTCTCAGTAGAGTTAATTACACCCAAGTGCCAGTTCCCTTGCAGAACTAAACTCCGTACACCAAATCCATATCCCCTATAACCAATGGCAGTGATTCAGTGATGCAGGATCATACCCCAAATAAATCTCTTTTTTTTCCTTTTGACAGCAAACCAGCACCTGCACCTGTGAAACCATATTTGATACCCACGGGTGAGATGCCATTATGGAAGGAGGTGGTAGAAGCTAAAAAAAAGAAAGAAAGGAACACAATGAGGCATTCCCCATCAACTAAACCCATATCTGCTGCCCTCGATACATGCCTTAAGAAATTCTGTCTTTACATATCAAGTACACCCTATAACATCAAACCGCATAATTTTCTTTTTTCATGAGATGAAAGGCCCTGCGGCACAATGTGATTAGTAAATCATTCCTGAGCTTCTGAAAGAAATTAAGACAAAATTACTGCTTAAAAGAGTATGTTCTTCAAGAGCCTCTTCTTTTCACACTGATGTCTTTGGTTGTGTCCTTTTCTCTAATTCTTTTTTTTTTTTTTTTTCCCCTAGGAAGAATGGGATTCTTTTTCCTCTTCTTTATGCAGCAGAAAAATGAGATCTAATGGAGTCTTCACGTAACTGCCGATGTTTCCCCATGTTACAGTCCTCCCTTCGAGTTCGTCTCTCAATAGTTATTCTGTATTTCTTTCTGCATGAAAGGAGAAGAACAGAGTGAGAAATCCTTTTTCAGCTATAGGCTAACAGACTTCCCTTATAAAGAATGCCTGTAGGGGACAGCTGGGTGCCAGTTGAAAAATGAAATGTGGCAGAATGTGAAACCCTGGTCAAAGATTAAAGTCGTTTTCCTCAAAACATTTTACTCAGGCTCAAGAATGCCTATTAATTTCTACATGGCAGTCTCAAAGCACCAAGACACAGACATTTACTTCTTTGAAAATTTCTGATCTAAGTGATTAGGAGTTTTTGTGAAATGTCATGTGAACTGTGTCACATCATTGCTTTATATTGATCAAAGACAAATTTCTTTTCAGTATGTGGGGTGGGGGGCACTTTCTGAGAGTTCAAACAACAGAACTGACTAGTCAGTTGCATTTCTCCTTGAAACTATGTATTAACTAACTAATCTTCCCATCTCCCCCTGAGAAAGCTACTATGTTTGTAATGTCAGATGAGGTAGTATGATGACTTAAGGAGAGGACAGATAAGAAATAAACAGAAATGCTCATGCATCAGACACAGCTCTTCCTGTGTGTCTTCCTCTAGGGCCTTTTGAAGAATTCTGCTACATTACTTTCTATGTCAAACAAGCCCTCTGACTGCTTTTCAGCCTCCCATTTGGTACCCAAATCTGCTACGAAAATCGTAAGACGGTTCACATTTATGTTTTAGACGTTTATGCTTCTCCTCAGTTCCAGGACAAATTTTTCCGAAGGGCGTTAGTCCAGTCCCATGAGCTTCTACTGCCTGTGGAGATGCATGGCAAAATCCTTGCATGCTAAGGAAAGCTCTGCTCCACTTGCATGTGTAATCAGAGTCAGAGCATATGTAACAGTGGAAGAATGATTTTCAAAACTCTAAGGTTTCAATCTGGGTAGCATGGCTGAATAGAAAGAAGCAACCTGAATGTTCTGAAAATATCCCCTAGATATTTGTGTGGGTATCACAGGTTCCAAAATAACTTGAAAAAACTGTGTTGTTTACTTCCTTTATGTATTTTTATGTCAGATCCTTCCATGGGTCAGAGCATGCATAGCAGTAGCTCTTGCGAAAGGACAGGTCCACATTTTGGAGATACAGGAGTTTAATTTTAAATCCTATCAAAGCTACATTTCAGAACTCCTACCCAGATATTTTAACAGTTTGCATGTACACTCAAAAACATGTTTGCATACTCATTTGTGACAATTACAGATCCAAAAGAGACACAATCAAAAGGTATATATACAGTTTTAAAGGTACAAATTACTTCCAGGCATACAACTACTAAACTTATATTTTCTGAAAATCCAACCCATGCATCCTGATACGTTATGTTTCAGATATTTATTCTAAAGGTGGAATAAGAAGGTTGTCCCTACTCCTCCTCTGAGCAATTGCAATCAGATGTCCAGGATGTAATTTACCCATGTGTCTTTAGGCATCTCCAATGTGTAGATCCATCTGACAGTACCCACAGCTTCCTTCAGACTTGTATTTTCTTTTTCTTTTAAAGATAGTCTTTAATCTGTCCCAGCTACCTTAATGTTGTCTCAAACCCAAACAACATATTACATAAGCACTGAACAATGCAAGATTAAAATCACCCTGCAGAATTTCAGTTGTAAGCACCTGAATAACAACCTTGGTTTTGAGACCTTTGAAGTGTCCCACTGAATTGAAGCAGCTTTTGCTTGTTTTATTAACTTTTTTTATAACATATATTTTTAGTGTATATATTTCTTTCTTATATGAAGAGATTAATTCTTTCTCCTGTATGTCTTTTCTCCTCCATATCATGAGGATAAATTATTGTATATATAAGGTGCTGAACAAGTATAACTAATTTATTCTATCAGGATCAGCTATCTAGCAGTGTTAAGAATTATTTTACTTAAACAAGAATAAAACACTGATCCCCCTACATTGACCTCAGCTTATTACATTAAATGCACAGTTTTGGTATCCAAATAATCTCTCACACCAAAACAGAAATCTCTGTTTCCCAGTACAATTCCACTCAACACTCAAAAAAAAAAAATAAGCCCAGTACCAGGCAAGTGATGTAAATCTCTTGCACAATCACAGGCTGCACAACTGTGCTGGCAAGGAGTATCAAACAAAGAAGGCTTTCAAGGCCAGGGCTTTTACTAAAGCAACTGTCAATGTCTGGAACCCACTGCAATTACTTCCATGAGTCACATTATTCAGAATCACAAGTATTTACAGGATGAAGACCCAAGTTAATAAAATTATTTGGATAAACACAAAGCGACAATCAAAATGTGCTCACTGTCTTTGGTGAAATTGTTACCACAGATTATTATGGTGCCTCTCTGACTCACATCAGCGATGTTCTGCCAGGAGCTGAGACGTTTAGACGACAAATTAAAAGTTTACAAAATTTCAACTGGACTAACCTGAAAAAGTAAAAAGCCATTAGCAATCCTGCTCCAAGCAAGGCGCCCACAACTATTCCTGTAACTGCTGATTCTCCTAGACCACCTGCTTGAGAAGGGGAAAAATAAATAATCAGAGTTCATATTGAGAACTGTTTGCATTCATGTATTGGAAAAAAAACACAAGTAGGAAATTAGTAACCAACACCAGATAATAACTAAAATCTTTCAGAGCTCAGGACTCCATGGGAACCTGTTCCAGTGTCTGCACATTTATTTTTTGTACATGCCTTCCTTGGGATTAAACAAGCCTCCAAAACGAGTGTCCAATGAAGACACAATTCTGGAGATACAAGGGAACGTTGTTAGGAAACTTCTCTGCAAAAACTTAGTCTGAATCATAACACAGACTGAGATTATAGTGACGCACATAATGGGAATCAGCACTGAGTATACCCTGAGTCATTATAACAGAAACAAACTCATTTCACTTGGTTTAGCATCATACACCTCTATCGCCTGGGTTTATTGAAATGATTATGGTTATCCAACAGTTCCTCAATTTTTGGGTGGTTCTTTGTGGTGGTTTTTCATTTGTTTGTTTTGGGGGTTTCGGTTGTTTGTTTGTTTTGAGGGTTGTGTGGGGTTTTTTTCCTGAAAATATGTTGTTTCAAGTTAAAGCCACATGAGCTTCACCTTGCTCCAAATCTCAACAGAGGTAGAGCAGGGACATAGTGGTTGAAGGGGAGCCCAAGCAGGGACTGTCACTGGGAAGTGCAGGGCAGTTGAAGAACAATGGCATTTTCACATGCATGTAGTCTGCTCCCATGTCCACCAGGGTTTGTGGAAAGGAACAGAGAAATATTAAGGAAAGTGCTCCCTTCTCTTCATTTACTCTTGTCTCTTTGAAGGGATTTTATCTGTATGTCAGCAGAGGGTGCATAGCTACACCACACTGATCATAGAGGGAAACAGTCTCTACATCATGTGTGTACACACAGGTTTTCCAAGGATTGAAGAATTATCAGGCTGGAGTTACCTTTTCACTCCAGGGCCAGCAATTTCTTTTCTGTGAAAAGCTAAGACAAGCCTTTGTCACTGAGGCACCAGTCTCCTCCTACCCTGATCTCCTTTGCAATGTCCTGCTTCCTACAATGTGGTCTGGAAAGTCAGTTTGCTGGAAAACATCAACACCTGCTCTGTGGTGGGTAGTCCCAGCCTTCAGAATTTGCAGATGTTACCCACTCAAATGACTTCACTTCTCCTCAGCCTACTGGGCCACTCACAGTCCCTTCTCACAGCACTGAAAATCATTCTGCGCTGGGAGAATGCTGCTCCCATCAGCTCAGGCAGGACAGCTGCTAATTACCAATGTGATTATTCTGTTTGGGGTTTCAATCATATCCTTCTTTCTGGCTAAAAGGCCCCACGAAACTCCTAAAGCCTCCAGGGTTCTGTGCTGTGCATCACAATTGCTGTCAGGTTTAAATTCAGGGAATTGGTTCAGGCCATGCAGTACCTGCAGCTGCCAGACCTTTACTTCCCAAGCAGTTGGCAGAGAGAGACAGTCACCGTGTCTCAGCTGGACAACTGTGCTAAGACAATTTGTTATGGCCTGTTATGTTGCATCAACACAGGGACTCCTCTCTCCTGAGCTGGGGCAGAAGCATTAAGTCACTAAACTTACATGATTTACACGGTGTATTGTTTGTGTGCTCTGAAACTCGGCTTTCATCTAGCCGCAGCCTGCCATGATTCCAAGGGTATTTCACATTTGATCGAATCTCAAAACGCCCCTGTTTTCCATAGTAGTCCCCAATCACCTGTGCAAAACAAGAAAGGAATGAAAAGATTTTCCTATCAACATGGAGAAGTAAAACAGGAGAGCAGCATCACTCAGTTGGACTCCTGTGGCACAACTCTGAATCTCGGAAGAAGAGGGCTGAAGAGGTCTGTGGGAGGTTATGTAGTGCATGCACTGCCCCAGGGCAGAATCAGCTGAGTAAAAGCATTCCTGACTGATATTTATCTAATCTCTTCTTAAAAGTCTTCAAAGATGAAAACTTGACAATTTCTTCAGGGAATTATTCTGGAACTTACCTAGTCCTACTGTCAGTTGTTTTCCCTATCATGTAACCTAAAATTCCTTTGCTGCAATTATCCATCACTACTTACCCACTTGTCAGTGGACACAGAGACTCTTCCTTTCTGAAACACTGCTTTACATATTCACAGGCTCTTATCTGGTCTGCCCTCAAGCTTCTCTTCTACATAAATCCTGTTTTTTTTAAGATTTTAAACCTTTTGGATATTCCTCCTTCCTCCCTGGGCCTTCTTCACTTGCTTCATAGGAGGTTGAGTGTGCCCAGGACTCTAATGCAATTAAGTGAAAGTATCAGTAACTAGACATGAGTCCAGACTGAGAGAAGAACTCATTGAGAGCAGCCCTGCCAAGAAGGACTTTTGGGTTCTCATGGTTGACAAGCTGAACTGACCCAGTGATGTGCACTCACAGCCCAGGAAGCCAAACATGTCCTGGGCTGCATCCAAAGCAGCACTGGCAGCAGACCAAGGGAGGTGATTCTGCCCCTCCACTCTTGTGAAACCCCAGCTGGAGCAAAGAATCCAGCTTTGGGGTCCCCAACATAAGAAGGATGTGGCCCTGTTAGAGTAAGTCCAGAGGAGGCCACAAAGCTGATCAGAGAGCTGGAACACCTCTCCTATGAGGAAAGGCTGAGAGAACTGGGGTTGCTCAGCAAGGAAAACAGAAGGCTCCAGGGAAACCTCATTGCAGCCTTCCAGTACTAATAGAAGGTTATTAAATACAGAGAGAGGTCGACTTTATCACAGGCAGGTAGTGACAGGACAAGGGGGAACAGATTTAAACTAAAAGAGGAGAGATGTATATTAGGTGTTAGGAAGAAATTCTTTGTTGTGAGGGTGGTGAGACACGGGCCCAGGTTGCCCAGAGAAGCTGTGGATGCCCCATCCCTTGAAGTGGTCAAGGCTAGGCTGGATGGGGCTCTCAGCAACTTGGTCTAGTGGAAGGTGTCCCTGCTTAGGGTAGGAGGGTTGGAACTGGATAATCTTTAAGGTCCTTTCCAACCCAAGCAATTCTGTGGTCCTAAGGTTTTATGATTTCAAGTAGATTCAGTGCTGAGACTTCCAAGCACACACTCTAGAGTGGAGTTTTCTATTTTGTCAGAATTTGAAGGTACTTGATCATGGTCAGTTAAAATCTTCAAATCCCCTGAACTATGACAGACACTTTAGAATTTCAGTCCTGCCTTCAACAGTTAAGCCCAGGCTTTTTTTAAGACAAGATGTTGAATCTACTGCAAAAGTGCAGAACTAAATTGTGCCAACAGTAGTCACTAATCTGAAAACAGACTAAACACATCTATGCACAGTAAGCAAGGCAAAAAATCATGACACTGAAGTAGTCAGGAACAGTGGCAGAAGCACATCAAAGGGTGTATTTGTCCCACCATGGATAAAACCCAGGTATTAATACACTGAGTTTAGAACTCAAGGTACTCAAGGCCTATTCAAATCTTTCACTTAACTTTCATTTTGAAACCAATGAGTTTAGAGGACATTTGCTCTGGTTAGATATATGAAGGTAGATTTTGAACTAGATGAAGGAGCTAATTGCTCTTCCTGTTGCCACTGGAATATAAAGTCTTTGAAGAAAGAGGTTTTTAATATTTGTTCACAAATAAAGGCAAATTCAGTAATCTGGAAAAAGTAGCGGGAAAAAACCTCAGAGACAATTTGCAGGCAGCAAATTATTTATTAAATGATGGTTTAATTTATCAAACAGGAGTAGTAGAGTCCTCTACCTGCAGGATTTACCAAATACGAAAGTATGCACAATGGCTTAGGAATAAAAAGTTATAAGCAGCAACTAAGCAGATTCAGATCAGAAGTACGACACAGATTTTTGAAGAGCAGGAGTGGTTAAACAGTGGAACAAATGCTGAGGGAACAAGCAAGGTAGTCCCTGTTCTCTCAGTGTCTCCAAAGAAAAAATGAATGCCTGTTACAGCGTGAGCTTTAGTCCCGTGTAAACTACAGGGCTCCATACAAGGGTAAGAAACCTGACTGCCTGTAAAACAGCAGAGGTCAAATTAGGTAATCTGGAGTTTTCTTCTAGCTTTAAAGTGTGTGAACAGACCTGGAAAAACAGCTCTACCTGAACAACCATTCATCTGGCACAGTTCAGCTGAGAAATGTTCTTGTACAGACACAGACAAAAACTGTTCAAATGAATAAAGTAAGTTACTGAAGAAAAAATATTTTTAGAGTAAGAGTAGAAATGACATAGCAGATAAGTGGAAGTAATCACATGTAAAATGTTAATTGCATGTATATTTTACACACAAGAAAGCAGAGGGAAATTGAACAGTACCTTAAAAGAAGAAATGTAACACTAAAAATGTAAAAGATAGTTTACATTGCAAGTAAAAGAGTAATGGAAAGGAGGGTAGGAGAGGGAGATTAAATTGATAAACAAGATAGAAAGCTAAAGAATTGAACAAACAGAATCAATACAGGTTGTTCAAACCGAAGTTATCACAACCAACTAGTACTCCTACTGCCCTTCTGAGTGTCTGCAGTTTACTGCTGTACTTTTTCAAGCACTTTTATCCCCTAAAGCACGAAAGACATCCTCATACTTTTAAAAAGGCTTCTTGAGTTGTCTCTGCTGCAGCACCGACAGGAGCAATTTAATTTCACTGGATTCAAATCCACACATGGAAATGTCCAGCTCAGATGCACTGCTGCTTTATGGTTGAGCTTGATGAAACAGGGCAGACCAGCAAACCTTAGGCTGACACTGACTTTGCAACTAACAAAAGCTGCAGCTGGAGTTAGGGTAATGAACATTAATAAGCTTAGCCCAGAGATGCTATTTTTCATCTCTTCCATCCCTTCTGCATCCAGTGGAATAACCTATGTGGTGTATATGGAGCCACCTGATTAAAATGTCTCAGACACTGAAAACAAGGCACTCAGGCCTGATAAATAAGGCCAGCCAAGCTCTGAACTCCTGTTTGTGGTCTTCCTCAGTGTAAGACTGAAATACATATACTTGATGTGTTAATACATCAGGATAACTTGTGCATCCCTGCTGCTGTAAGATTAATCTTTTTTCCTACCAATGAATAAAAGGTCTTGCTTTAAACAGTAATTTCTCATATTCAAAATTATCATTGCTTAGTTAGCTTGTGAGAATTCACCCTTTAGTTAAAGGCTAGCATCGTGTGAAGAAAAATGTATTGTGAAAGGAAAGAAGTTTAAAAAACCTTTGGATAACTACTTCAAGATAGTTATTTTGCAGAAAGGATTTGGTCTTAAAGTTGATAAGGATAAGCCACCATGTAAAGAGATGATGTCATGTTACATTACACTGGCTAATTCATAAGTGGCCAAGTGCAATCGTGTTTGTTTCCTTACCTCCTGTGTGCCTGCCTCTGGGTCTGTCATTCCAATCACAGAGAAATCCCCGTATCTGTCTCCATTGGCATCAATGGACACCTGCCCTGCAATGCCTAAAGAATGGTATGTGAGGAATTAGAAAATTAATTAGTTAAAATACTGAGTCTTTTCAAGGAACACAAGAAAACAGTGGACAGGTTTTTACAGACCGATATGACAGGAAATCTCATCAGTCTTCCAGCATTTTTGTTGGCATTCCAAAAGAAATTGTAATTTCATCTCGGTGTCTGCATTCCTGAATTCTTAACATTTCTCCTTTTAAATATCAAATGGGTGAGACTTTTTGGAGACTACGTGACAAAAATCTAATCCAAAAGCCATCATGTAAGAATAAAACACAAATATATTTAATGTGAATTATTTACAGAGAGCCTAACCCTGAAATATCTAACGGTGCCTCAATAAAGGAAGTCCAGCTCATGTGCTGCACAGAACATAGACCTACATCCCACAGACTGCACCCACACAGCCAGTATGTGCTGAATGTTGTTTCCATCTAATGAGATACTGGAGAGGGTATGAACAAGAGGCACCATGTGCACTACATATGCATTAAGCCCAGCATTCATTTACATAAGATTAACTACATAATATAACGCTGTTTGTTATATATTCTTAGACCCCTAGTTCACTTCCTTCCTTTACAACTTCTGGGAAACTTTAGGGACACTGGGAATCATAGACTAATAGGACATCTTAAGTTTGAAGGGGCTTCAGTAGACATAGAGCCCAGTCTCCTGCTCAGACCAGGGTCAGCCACGAGGTCAAAATAGAAGGATGACCAGGGTTTGTGGTCTCCAAAAAACCTCCAAGGATGGAAACTGCAAAATCTCACTAGGGCAACTTATTCCAGCTGTCACACATCCTTGGATTCAGTCTGAATCTCTTCTTAAATCCTTGTCCTTGTGTAAAAAGAGCACGGCTCCAAATTCTTGCTGCGTTAAGTCAAATTCATTCTTAAAAGGCAACAAACAGCATCAATTAACTATGATGAGGACATCATAAAGTTGTGGATATGCTTTATCACCTCAGATACTCTCAAATGTGATCCTCCACTACCTGACAATGAACACAGCCATTTATACATGTGCAAGGCAAACAGGCACCACTGTATATCCATGTTACACCAACCACATGATCAGAGCAGACACAAAGCTGTGGAGATTCAGGCTCTCAGTGGTGGTAAACCAGAAGAGAAAAGTCAGATATTCAGTCAGAGTATAAATTCCCCTCAACATGCCTAATGGTAGTGAACATGCAACAGACTAACGCACCTTCATTCATCCTGTCTCTGTTCTGATTTAGATAAGTCAGGAATGTTTTGACTTGCTGTGATTTTCAAAATATGTAGTGGTAATCAAAGATTGTTGCCAAGCATCTGTTTCATTATAACAACACAGCAATCAAACAACTGTCAATTCCCTTACTGCAGGAAAACAGAATGGGTATAACACCCACTTGGTTGTGAGAGCAATGGAAGAGCCCACTATGAGGAACTGTGATGTCCTTGCCTACACAGCAGTTTGGATTCTGAATCTGACAGGACGTGTTCATTGGAACACACACCTTCCTGGCCTAAGAAAACTAAAAATTTTTGGAAGTAGGTACTAAAATTATTGGAACTCAGAATTCCTATGGGATTTTTTTTTTTTTTTTTAGTAGGAAAGACTAATTTCTGTATTTTCCATCTGAATCAAAATAGGGAGTTTGGAAGGTTGACATTTCCTACAGTGCTCTTCCTTAAAAAACACAGGTAGGAAATTTTGAAACAACCTTGATTAAGAACTGCATTTGGATGAAGATGGAAGGATTTTATCTAGACTTTCTATTCGCTCTGTTACGTGAGATACAAACAGATACACATAGAACATTTTGCTACTTTTTCAGAGGAAATTCCAATGAACAGAAAATAAGTCTCCACAAAAACGTGCCCTGCAGTGACGCCGGGATGTCTCTAACAACCCAAGCAGTAAGAGACCCCTTGATCACCTCAGACATAACCCTTCCTAAGTACATGATGTCTACTCAGTTGTGACTGGCAGACGGAATGCTGCAGCAAGCAGCATCCAGATCCCCTTGGGAGTCCTGATGGGTCAGACCAGGCTGCAACATGAGGTGCCAAGGAACTGAGATATCTGAATGTCAGCAGTTGAATTAATGTAAATAATGTAATTAATTCAACTGAATTTCTTGTCACTGAGTCCGGGAATACTTAAAAATGAATGATAAAGCCTCAGTCCTGCAGCAGAGCCTGATGGGTGTGTGCATGGACCACACTACTGCAGAGAAGGGTTTACAGGAAAAAAAGAGGGACATGATCTTCCTGAAAGAACTGGATTGAAAGACACCAAATTAAAGGCCTCTTCCAAAATCAGATTTATGTCCCGCAAAATACTGCCATGGGGAGGAAACGGCATATGACTTACTAGGTGTTTTGACCTTGTCATCTGCACCCTCACAGAACACCTTGGCAGCTACATTTAAGTGTATACAAATCAGCAACCAACAACTACTTGGTTTTCACAAGTGAGGAAAGACAACATTTTTTCCTCCTGGCTGATTTTACATGCAAGGTGTGAGAATCAACCATGTAAACCCCCCCATGGAGCACATATACTAAAAAGACTCACATGGGCACACCAGCCGGTGGCTTCCTGGAGCACAGAAACAGGAGTAGAGAAAACACAGGCTGTACTGGGGCATCTGTTCATATACAAGACAACCAAAGAGAGAGGCAAATCCCTAGACATTAGATTCCCTCTGTTAAAACAGAGTGTTTTAGGAAGCCATGGATGTGAAGAGAGGTAGTGGGACATCAAGCACAATCTCCAGCTGGTGGAGGGCTTCGTACAGGATGACTGAAACCAGTATCATTTAAAGCAATCCCTGAGTTCCCTTAAGCTGCCCTGGGTATCCTTTTGCCTTGGATTCAGGCCACAGTTTGAGAATAAAAAATTGGTTTGGAGCTGCTGCCCTTCTTGCCTTCCTACATTACGTCCAGTGTGTTCTTAGAGCAGAGAACCTGGCTACTGGGGTTTTTCTCACACATTCAAATGAACCATTCATTTCTTATCTAGGGGAAATGTTTCCTTCTCTTAGGCATTTCCATAGGAAATCTTGCCAATCCTACACCAAATGACTGAAGTATTATATGAGATGGATGGGAACATTATAAAGAGATGGATGGAAATATTTCAAGAGATGATGGATGAAACCAATAGTCCTCAGTTTCTTTACTACAATTCTCACCTGGAAAAAGCATTTGCATTGCTTTGCATCACAAGGTGACATACAAGTTCCATTTGCATTCTGGAATCATAATGTTCAGGATTAGGCACAGAAAGGCACAGTGGTGCTCAGCTGCTGCCTCTGAGATAACATGCACAGCTCCTGAAAGGAGGTTGAGGGAAACCCTTCCAGGGCCCAAAGGAGTCCCATTGAGAAACACAAAACAATCCTAACCCTGGTACCTGCTTGCTTCTATCCATTCCCAAGCTTTCAAGATAAAAAAGTGACAGGGAAAAAATGAGGCAATCTCAGAGCTAATAGATGAACATGAGTAAAGCAAGCGGATGTAATCTTTTCAAAAACAAAGAAGGAGCCTGAGAAAATTATTGGTATTTCTTTACCACACCAGCGAGGGTCATTAAATTATTAGACTACTTTAAACTGAGTAACAATTTGACAGTTGGCAAAAAAAGTCAGGCTGGTGAGGTATGTGACCCAGCCTTAAAAATGTACATGGTTTCATATGGTTACTTCCCTCTCACTTAAGACTGGAACAGGCATGGGTCCTTACTCTGCACACAACAAAGACCTGAATCTTTCTGACTCCAAAATCTGGAATTCCATAGTAAGTCTTACCTTCATATGTTCTGTTCCGTGTTTGCTGAACAATTTTTTCCCCATCTTTCTTAGTGAAACCAAACTTCAGGACTTCCTGTAAAGCTAGAGCATAAAGAAGAACAGCATCATGGAATCCTTCCACAAACATGTTCACCTAGAAAAGAAAGAAAAAAGAAAAAAAAGCAATGGCAATTGACACATAATAAATTTTTTTTTCCCTATGGAATTGATTCATTAGAGGGAATTTACAAATTAACCACAGTGACTAACTTGGAGAGTTATTTTCTCAAGTGCTGGAATCCAAAGGAATGTGTCTCAAAAAATCCTCATGGGGAAAATGGCAACTTCTGACCCATTTTTAAAAACAGTTAACCACTATCTACTATTCTGAACACTCAAATCACACTTTAGTGTTGTGTCTGAATAGCTCTGCAGATAGGGGAGAAATTCACAGATCACAGTTCCCATGCCCAGACGCACAAATACTGCACTTAACCACGTGAGATTCTATAAGGGGCTGAGCACCCTCATCCTGCAGCAGTCCCACTCCCCTTGTGCACATCTCAGGACTGGGAAGTATGTTCTGTCATGATTTTTTCTGGAGAGCACAATGGGTGTTTTTGCTTGTTTAACGATTACCACTTCCATTTCTGGCCCTTGTTCAGCCAAGCATCTCTCCACTAGCAAATAAGCAATGGAGAAAACTACTTACCCTCTCCAGCAATGTATTCTCTGGAACTGCCAGAACCTTTTCCCACCTGTCCTTTATAGTTTTTTTCAGTAAGTGACATGAAATGAATCAAATGTTGCCTTATAACCCTAACACAAAAGAAAACTGCTACTACCTACCAGCTCCACCTCACAAGGAGTCTCCACAGGCAAACTACAGCTTTAGTTCTGTATCACTGAGTAACAAAAACACTTAAAAGCTGAGTGCTGCAGAAACATTACAGGTTTGCTCACGGGGAGCTTGGTGTGCTTCAGTCATGAAGCAACAATTACGGAAGGAGCTGAATTCAGATGGAGGCCCATCAGCAGAAAGAGACACACATGACTTGTACGGTACAATTATTCCTTTTTTGTAGGCAGCAATTCACACCTTAGCAATGCAATGCACTCACTTCATGCACAATAATTCTGAATTAATTGCCTTTTCAGCTGCAAGAAAGATGTTCCCATTCACTCAGAGTTCCACTACAATAAAAAAGCTCCTGACATCCTAGCCAAGGTGTAAGCAAGGATTGTACCACATTATGGGGTCTCCAATTGCCATTCCCAGTGAACAACTCACCTCTACAAATACTGCCCTGGATAGAAACCAAATACATTTAGCATATCTTCCACTTCAGTGTATCTAAACAATTTAAAATGCCAGTCTTACTCTCACAGTTTTACCTGGATAGTAAAAGTGTTCGAAGACAAAAACATGCAGCCAATTAAGTAAGTAACTGCTCCACAGATAAAAAGTATTACACAGTTGATTGGCTAAGCCAAACTAATCAAACTCTGATAATGTAAATACATCCAAGACATTCCTTCATTCTTAAAGCACTTGCCAACAGTAAGGAGAATTTTGGAATTATTTACTGAATATTATAAAAGTTTACATTGCTCTCACATTTCAAACTAGACTTTTAGTAACTCCTACCTATGTTGCATTAAGAAAATATAGTACCAGTTCAGGGGAAGAACCCACAGTGCTACAGGAGGCACAGAACAGCTCAGCTCATTCTGACAGCCAAAGACTAAAGGACAGCTGTAGCTATTTTGAGCTAAGGAGAAAGCGTGAAAGAAGAGGTGAAAGTCAGGCTTTTGGTGGAATAACAAGAGCTGATGGACAGAGTGCATTCTAGGACAGACTTTGCCAGCAGGGGGTTTAACTTTTCAGAGTTAAAAAAACCCCAACCAAACCAAGAAACCACAAAGCTCAACAACTGCTTCGTGTGCCAATGTTAGAGTCCAAGTGGCCTGTGGATGATCAAACATGGGCTTTCTTTACGTGACATTCTTTCTCTAGTCTCTCTATTAGCTTTACCTCCCTGCTGGCTGATTTACAGCTTGTGGGTGGCACTCGTTTCAAGGAAAGCTATTTGTCAGTTCCTTTGTTCATGGCAAAGACCTCTTAGTGTAACACAGCAACCTTCAAAATCCTTTCTGTCAGCTAATTTGCTCAAACTGAAATCTACTCTGCCACAGGCCTGGAAACACTTGTGTAGACACCGCAGATCTGCCAGATAAGCCCTGTCAAAACTCAGCTGGTAGTCTGGGAGATTACTGCCACAGTCTCTTGCCAAAGCCCCTCTTGGCCAAAACCCCTAACATCACATATGAAAAATCACATTATAAAATTGTCAGAGGGTCATCTATGACACTGCTCAGTTGCTGAAGCACAAACCCCAGCATTTTATCTTATGTTGCCAAGGAAGGTAAAACTGTGTGGGTAACTTATGCCATTTAAAATCTTCTAAAAGAGTAATATTTATTATTTACAGATGAGATTGCACCTACACTCCCCAGCCAAACCCTATGCTGGGCACACCTGCAACTTCTCACATTATTCCAGAAACATGTTCAAGCACCAGTTCTTGAAAGGATATTGGATACCATGAAGGGCATAAAGTTTCCTGCATTATCCTCTTGCTCAATCATTTAGAAGTTGCCATAATTCCACACAGAACATGGGTTGCGTGATGCAAAGGACAGAGGAACATTAAAGTGTGAAATAACAGCCATAGAAAATTTTGAAGGAATTGCTCCTTGCTGTAGAAAAGGGTTAAAAAGGGATAGAAGAAGTAGATATTACATGAATATTTTAAATAGGAATCAGAGTAAATATGAAGATGTCTTCACAGGCTGCTTGAAGGTGTCCATGGTAAGTAATTATGTATGTGCTCCAACCTTAGACGCTCTCAGGATAAAAACTAAACAGAGTACAAAATCTATTAGAGGTCAACTAATCTTGTATGCTCTTAAAAGTTCTTTTAGTTAAGCTCTAATAAAAAGCAGAAAATTCTGATTATAGCATTTTCAATTTTCATTTATGCTCTTTTTTAATTACAGGTGCAAGCTGAGCTTCAGATGCTGTGATCACAACTTGCATGGCAACTATAAAATTGCTGTCCCTGGCCCTTTCTGCACAGCAGGGACACCCATCAGTGTGACAGCAATGCCACTGGCAGCAGAGAAGCTGCCAGGTTTGCTGAACAACTTTGGAGGCTGCAATACAAATATCTGGAAACCTCCTTCTGAGATATCTCCCATATTACTTTCACATCCTATTCAAATACCAGAAAAGCAGGTAAGCTAACTCCATGGCTAAACAAGATAAGCAAAAATATACCCGTTTTATTTTCCTCCCTTTCTACTCTAAATAGCCATCTTCCATCAGGAAAAAAGAAAAAAAAAAAAAGAAACAACCCCTCTCAAAGGAAATCACATGAATAAATTTTACACAGTTCAAAGTTATAGTTCCCCAAGCAGCTATAGTGTGACCACAGTATTCATATATGCCAAGGTGTTAACAGCATACACAGCAATGCAAAATACTACTGCCATGGAAGACAGCCAAGCTACAGCTATGTAAGACCCATAATTTTCCATATCCTGCCTACTAGCTGTTAAGTAAGCTTGCTCTCTCCCATCTGGAACTGCTCAGCTCTGAATCACAGCAATTACACCAATTAATACCACTTCAGAGCCAGGTAGGGAGCATCATCAGTACTTTTTCTCTATTGCAAAGGCAAACAACTAACATTTCCCAAACCTGGTCTCTGCATCTACTTTCCAGTATATTCACAGTGATTTTTCAAGTTGTCAAGCTACAGTTCCAGCCAAAATCACTGAGGGCCCTGGGGAACTGCAGAGGATTGTATCTAGACTTATTGCAAAAATCTTATCCAATTTACATATTTGACATGGTGCTCAGGTAATACCCACTGAAGACCACCTTCACCCTGTTTCAGATTACTCCACATGGATGAAACTAAGCAATCAAGCATGGAAGTTTGATACTATAAACATATCACGCTTACCTAACATCAGGACTACAGATACCGTAAGTGAACCTCATGAACTTTAGCAGTACTGTGTTATAGTGTAAAACTATAGCACAATAAAAACACAGCAAAGTTCAAATACAGCAGCTATATTTAAAAAAAAAAAATGCTATGATGTATTTCAAACCAATCTCATGACAATCTCCCAGTGAGGTGGTGGAGTCACCATCCCTGAAGGTGTTCAAGGAAAGACTGGATGTGGCACTTGGTGCCATGGTCTTGTTGACATGGTGCTGATCAGTCAAAGGCTGGACTTGATGATCTCAGAGGTCTTTTCCAAACTAACTGATTCTGTGATTCTGTAGCAAGCTTGTTCACATACTTCATGACTGAGCATTTCTCCGTAACACTTCTTGCTATTTAGGTAGATGGCTTCCTACATCTCATGCTTCTTCAACATATCTCAATAAAAGTATTTTTCCAGCAGTTGCAATTAAACTGTCAGTGCTCTCTTTTTAATCCTTCTTCAGCAAGCCAATTATAATTACGATCCTTTATTTATGAGCTTTTCTAAGAAACCCTGACATAATTTTTCTTACATGTATTCTTGACAAATGTCTTTGGTTGTGTTCCGCTGACTCACTATCCAGCAATACACTCTTAACTTTGGAGCAGGGACTTTTCTCTTTGATACCATTTGTTGATGTTGCACATTCCCATTCAGGACATTGACACTGCTGATGCCGTAGTTTCAAGTACTGGGACGCCCAGAGGGGCTCTTGGCAGCTCCTTGATGAGTTTCTATGCCCTTACTCTGAGATGCACAAATCCAGAACAAGGTGCTTATTATTCTTATATAACAGACAGAAATTACTCAGTTTTTTCAAAATTATTCTTTTTTAAAGATAAAACATCGTTGTTACAAACTGATTTTCTGTTAAACTTACAGTTTATATAAACTCAGTCAGGACCTCTAAGTGGAACTGAGATGCAGATTGAGAATGTGGAGGTGAGGGGAGAATATCTTTATGCCTGAGCATTACCTGAGAATAGGGGAAGTGCATTTCACACCAGGAATATAATGTCCAGTTTCAGCTTTGCAGCAATGTTTAAGTCCCACAGGTATAACGCTACCACATATGATTCTGCATGTTACCAC